TGGGCCGCCGGGGCCCGAGGGTCCCTGCAGACGGGAGCCCTCCACCCCGCCCAATCGCCCCGGCCGAGTGACGGATTCCGGGCCGCGAGCCGTGCGCCATCCTGGGCCTCAGGGAAGCGGCCCTCTCTGCCCAGCGAATGGGGCCAGTTGCCAGGTCCCAGCAGTACCCGGGTGAGACTGGCCTCGCGCCTGGTCCCTGCCTCGGGCTCCCGAGGAAGCGCCAGATCCTGGGGCCACACCCTCGAGGGTCCGGATCCCAGGCCGGGTGTCACAGTTCCCCTTCCAGAACACAGCGCAAATCCCCCTTGCTGAATAAGAGCCCTGTGGCCCTCTCCGGCCCGGAGGGTCTGCAGACGCTTCCGTCGCCCTCCTTCCGGCCTGCAGCCCATGGTGCTCCCAGGGGAGGGAGAGGAACGATCAGGGAGGAGGGCAGGGGTGCAGGCCAGCAGCAGAGCACCCCAGCACTGCAGAAATAACAATAAGCAGAGAATGAGGAAAGCCGCCCCTGGACTCCCGGCCAAGACCGCGCAGACTCACAGCCACACCTGACCCAGGGAGGCGGAGGATGGACAGACAGATGCTCCTTGGCACTGGGGAGCCACTGTGAAGTAGGAACAGCTGCCTGGACCACTGCCAGGTCGATAGGAATCAGGGGCTTCTGCAGGAAGCAAGAGGCCCCCAGATGGCTTTGACTCCAGCCCTCTGCCGCTGTCGTTGTCATGGTCCCAGGCCGTAAGCTCACACCAGCTTCCTGTCGGCCACTGGCCACACATCGGCGTGTGTGATTCCTGTGCGTGTTTCTCAGCCTCTCTCAGTCTCCTTGTTTTCCTTTGCTGTAGTGGGGATCAAACCTGTGGCCTCGTACGGTGGCCGTGAGGGTGAATTATGGGTGTGCTCCCTCAGACCTGCTCATTCCCGGCTTCTCCCCCTTGCCAGTTTTTTGTTGTGTTTCGTTTTTTTTTTTTGGAGATGCAGTTCTGTGTACTCTAGGCAGGCCTTAAAGTCACTATGGAATCAGACCTGCTCATTCCCGGCTTCTCCCCCTTGCCAGTTTTTTGTTGTGTTTCGTTTTTTTTTTTGGAGATGCAGTTCTGTGTACTCTAGGCAGGCCTTAAAGTCACTATGGAGCCCAGGCTGGCCTCACTCGAATCCATCCTCCCACCTCGACTTCTCAGTGCTGGGATTACAGGCGTGAGCCACCACACCTGGCGTCTCCTTGCCAATTATATGAGCGTGGGTGAGGGCCCTCCGCAGCTGTGTTCTCAGTTTCCCGGAGGGCTGAAGGGCTCCACACTGCCCACAGTCTTCGTGCCACCAGCCTGTGTGGGCCTGCTCTGGGCTGGCCCAAGCTGGCCAGAGCTCACCCACCTCCCTGTGGCTGCCCTGAGGAGCCAGGCCAGGAGTAGAGATTAAACAGAGCCCCCCCACCAGGTGTATTTTGTTTGTTGTTTGTTTGTTTGAGACAGGGTCTCACTATGTAGTTGAGACTGACCTGGAACTCACTGTGTAGCCCAGGCTGGTCTAGAACTCACAGAGATCCTCCCGGTGTTTTGACAAGTGCCCTGGCTTGACTCTTGCCGAAACTTGAGATTTCCCCAGATGCCACTTCCTCTTGCAGCTCTCAAGTTCCTCTGCCCTCCTCTTCCCAAGGTTGGCTGGGAGGGCGTCCTTGAGGAAAGGTGGGCATGACCTCCCAGGCAAGGAGCACTGCTTAGATCCTGGGGTCCGGGGCAAGGTCCCTGTAGGAAGAGGCTGGAACCTGTGCAGCTCACAGTGGACCGATCCAGGGGCAGGGAAGGGACCTGTGGTGCATGGTACTCTGGCTCCACTGCAAGAAATGCATTCATTCATTTGCTCATCCGTTACACAGCCAGCACTGAGCAGGACCAGTGAGAGCAAGCGCCAGCCCGCGGTGACAGAATGTCCTGGGGTGGGCAGAGAGGACCCAGGGAGGCGGGCCCTTTTCCAGTTCTTGACTCCGTGCTGTTGGTAAACTGAGGGAACCCAGCTGCACCCCCTCGGCTTGTTGCTGGCTTCTCCCCCATCCATGAACCTGGCCTGGGCCAGGGGAAGGGCTCAGCTGTGGGCTTCCCCGGAGCAGGGAAGGAGAGGAGAACCCAAAGTGGGTCTGAGCAGAAGCCACGCCTCCTGGGCAGAGAGCCACACCCACTCCCATCTGTCCAGGCCGGGCCTCGGGGACTTCAAACACCCAGCCGGTGTGACTGCTCACCCTCCCCGCTCATGTGCACGCAGGATCTCAGATCAGCTTCCTGGGGTGGGAGCGGGTCACCTAGAGGTGAAGGTGTCTGCCCTACAGCCACAGCTTGAAAGAGAGCCAGGAAGACGGAGATGAGATCACTGATAATGATGTGTGGCCGTGGGGCAGCTCGCCTCTCTGTGACTCAGTTTCCCAGGCTGTACAGTAGGAAGGAGCGCCATCCCTGATTCATGGGATTGTAGGGAGGAGCACAAGGAATTGGACGGGAAGCCCTTGGAATGCACCTCTCTGTAGGCCCCAGGGGACCTCTTTCCCTGTCCTTTGTGGAAATGTCCCAAGCACAGCCCTGGAGGGTAAGAAGTCCCCACCCTGCTTCTCCTTGGGGCACCTGTCTCAGACAGTGAAGGGCTCTGGAAAAAAATCTCATGGAGGCTTTTGTGTCAGCTTTCACAAAAGAGGCAAGAGCTGGGCATGGTAGTGTGTTCCTGTAATCCCAGCCCTTGGGAGGCTGAGGCAGGAGGATATAGCCTTGAGTTTGAGGCCAGCCTGGGCTACATCTGACACATGGTGAGACCTTGTCTCAAAAGAACAAGACAAAACCAAAGGAAAGCGAGGAAAGCCTGTGGCTCGGTGGTGGCGTGAGCCGTGAGCCAGGCATTGCCAGGGGGCGGGGGATTGTCCTGGATGCCCGTACCCAGGCTCCCACCACGGGCTCTGCACCAGGAAGTAGAGGACTCAGCTGTGTCTCATCTGTCAGGACGCGAGGGAGCTGATGCTCTGTCCGGCCAGCCCTGCCATCGGTGTCTATGTGTGTGTGTCTCTCTCTGTCCGTCTGTCCTCAGAGATCAGCCTCTTGCTGGAGCCGGGATGGCTGCCGTTTGTTTTCTGAGTCAGCTGGTGGCTCAGAGAGGGGACTGGCCGCAGGTGGGGCTCTGTTCACTTTGCTTCTGAGTCATCAGTTGAAAGAGGCCCCAGTGGGCACGAGGCATGGCCCCTTCTCCAAGAGTCCCTGTGAGTCCCCAATCTGGGCTCCATCTGGGCTCCGACCTCCCAGCTGCAGCACTCATGGGGGGGGCTACTAGGGCGGGGGGTTCCTGAGTTCATTCCTGAGGCACCAAGCAGGTTCACCCCTGGGAAGGTTTTATGGAAGTCAGCGGCTCCTGCTGTCCGATCGATCTAGAGGTTATTGTTTCCATCCTCCCGAGAGCAGATTTGGGGCTGGGATGGGAGAGGACAGATGAAGCCTGGCGGGGACTTGTAGTCCCCAGCCCAAGTGGTGTGGCAGGGATGAGAGCCCAGGTCTGGCCCGTGCTGGGGTTTTGTTTTGTTTCGTTTCGTTTTGGTACCGGGGATTGAACTCGGACCTTGTGTTTGCAAAGCAGGTATTGGAACCCCTGAGCTACCGCCCCAGCCCCATGCTGGGCTTTAAGTCTCAGCTTCAGTTTGACAAGGTCCCTTCAAGCTGATACAGCCCAGGGTCCTCTTCACACGCGAGACAGGAAACGCCTTTTCCTCTCCCTTGCTCTCACCTGTTGCTGCTTCTCAGTAGGCTCAGTGCTGCAGCAGGTAAGGGTGGGACGCTTGTCAGGGCCCTGGGACTCAGCACAAGTGGGAAGTGTGTGGCGGTGTGGAAGACGCTGTCCCAGAACCTGCCCTGCCCTCACAGGCTTCCTCTGAGAATGGGCGCCTGGTCCAGTGGCTTCGTGGCCAGTGAGCCCCAGAAATCAGGACCTATGAATGGAGTCCCTGTCGAGGGCCTGGCTCCCTGCTGGCACACGGGCTGTTGTACCAAGTGTTGGACCAGACTTCTCTTCACATGAGACAAACACAAAACAATAACAATAACAGACTCAGCCTGGAGTCAGCCTGCCTGGGTTTGCATCCTGGAGCTACTATATGCTTCCTGTGTGAACTTGGGCAAGTTACTTGACCTCTCTGAGCCTCCGATCTTCTGTAAATGGGGCAGTAATCATGGTTACCTGGCAGTTACTGTGTTAACCATGTACAAAAGAGTCGGAGCGGAGCCCCACAGCGATGAGGAATGGTTTTGTTTTATGGTTTTTGGTTTTTTTATGGTACCGGGGATCGAACTTGGGTCCTTGAGCTTGTGAGGCAGGCAGCGGAACCACTGAGCTAAAGCCCTGGACCTGCGCTAAATCCCCGGCCTGAGGAATGTTGATTCCTGTGATTTTTTTGCGTTCAGTGTGGGGGCTCCACTGAGTGACATGACCAGTCTCTGGTATGATTATTGGTTGGGCACAGGAAGCCCCTGTTGGGGACAGAGTGACTGAAGGGTCCCCACGTGACTGGCAGTCAGTCGCTTGTGATTCTCTGGACTCGTTGGCTAAAAACTATGAGAAGGGCTCAGGTTAGAGGGTGGAGGCTGAGGGGGAGCCCAGGAAATCAGCAGCCTGCCCGAAGGAGGCACCGGGCACCTCTGTGTCTCCAGGGTCCTGTAGGTGGGGCGGGCCGCCCCAGGGTAGGAGCAGGGAGCCCTACCCTCTCCAGGGCTCAGAACACCCAGGGGCTTCCTTGCTGGGACCTTTGCCCTCCAGCAGGGAGGGAGCCAGGAGGAGGAGCCTGTCTTCGGCAGCCGTCTGACACGCTTCTTTGAGCCTCAGTTTACCATCTGCAGAGATGGCCCTGCAGGCCTGGTGGTCATCAGTCTGGAGTGTCCCCAGCGTCCCCTTGCCCCCGGGGTTATGCCGAGCACCAGGATGGAATGAGGATGAGCAGCCGCGCTCTCTGCCATGGGTGCACAGCGCGGTGGAGGTGGAATGGAACTGTGGGAACTCAGATGCCCACCCGTGAGTGAGGAAGTGCCGTGCATGAGTAAGGACCAACAGAGTGACCAGTCAGCAGGCCCGGGAAGGCCAGAGCTGCTATGCTCGTCAGCCCCGATCGCAAACCACTTAGAGAAAGAAGACAACCAGCTTCACATGCTGGCTCACACCTGTAATCCCAGCACTCCGGGAGGCTGAGGCAGGAGGATTGCAAATTCAAGCTCAGTCTGGGTGACTTGGCAAGACCTTGTCTCAAAATAAAAAATGAAAAGGGCTGTGGATATAGCTCAGCGCGAAGTTACTGGGTTCAGTCTCTGATATGGGGGGCGGGAAGGGAAGAAAGGAAGGTCCCCCAAACACCGTTGATTCTTTCTGTCCACAGACAGCAGCCCTCTCGCGGGCAGCCCGCCCGTCAGCTATGGGACCCTGACGATAGGGACATCAGTCGGTCCCCTCAGCTCCTCAGCTTCATCCGTGGTATGTGACAGCGCGGGCAGGGCGGGTGTGAGGCCCAGGCACCCAGGGCCCAGCCCGACTCCAGCCCACCGGCCTCGCCTGTGTCTGCAGAGGCTCAGCGGCTACTGTGGCAGTCCCTGGAGGGCCATCGGCTATCACGCCGTGGTCTGGGTGCTGGCTGGGATCCCCTTGCTGCTCTTCCGCTGGAAGCCCTTGTGGGGGGTGCGGCTGCGATCGAGGCCCTGCAGCCTGGCCCACGCCGAAACACTCGTCATCGAAACAAGAGACCAAGAGGTGAGAGGCAGCCGCAGCGGCTGGGGCGTGGGCCGCCCGGTTCTCCTTGTCGTGTGGGCCTCAGAGCTCCCGTCCCAGTGCTGGGCGGAAGTGGCTGGCGGGTGGCTTTATGGGGCTCACCCTGCCTCTCAGTGGGGCCGCCTGGCCGAGGGAGGGGCTGAGGTCAGGCTTGCGTGTTCCAGGGTAGCCCGTGGCAGCTCTTCACTGTCCAGGTGCAGACTGAGGCCGTCGGCGAGGGCAGGTGAGGCAGCTCGTGGCCATCTAGGATTCTGACCGGGTGCCCCTTCCTGTGGGGACGGGAGAGTTGGGGCAGCTCCACGCGCTGCGGGTAACACCCGGCTCTCTCCCCAGCCTGGAGCTGCCCCTGCAGACAGAGGATGGGCACGGAGAGCTGGCTGTGGGGGCCGTGCCTGAAGCTCCGTGGAATGACACAGCCCCGCTCCACAGGGAGGAGGCAGTGAGTGGACGCGGGGTTCTAAACAAGTCCTTACCCCTCCCTGGGCGCCGCAGGAGGGTCGGTTCCCATGGTCTAGAGACACCTCCCACTGACCTCCCTGTCCCCCCAGAAGCGGGTAGCACGGTATTACGTCTTCCAGGGCAGGCGCTACGTCTGGATGGAGACCCAGCAAGCCTTCCTTCAAGTCAGGTAGGGGCTAGGGCCGAGGCCACACATACCACCTTCCAGAGGGAGTGGCTTGGGCAGAGGGCACACAAACGGCCCGGCCAAAACTTCAGGCAGCTCATGGAGCCTCTCCAGGCCGGGGCCTTGGGCTGGAGATCTAGGATGAGGACAGTCCCCGGGTGAAACATGGGACCTGGACAGAGTAGCTGACCCGAGGTGGCCACACTGACCAGCACACATGACTCTGGCCGCTGTCAGCTCTTGCTGTGCCAGCAGAGTCCGTCTGGAAGGTGGCCCAGGACAGCACTGCGGAGTGTGGCAGGGAGGGCATCTTCAGGCCAAGCGCCATGTGAGCCCCCGGAATGCAGTCCCCGAGGGGGTCTCTTCAGGCCCGCACGGGGTGACGGCCCCTGGGAGGACGAGGCCGGGACACTTACCCATCAGCTCTAGACTGCCCTGGGGGCCTGCAGGCAGGGTGTGCTCACTGTGCCCCACAGGGCAAGTGTCTTGGGTGGGGAGGGCACCACCGCCTTCTGCTGCCCAGTACGGGTAACAGCAGGGCCCTCGTCCCAGCTCTGCTCACCCTTGGTCCCGCCCCTCGTAGTGGCACTGTCCCTTTGTTTGGCCCGGAGAGGTTAAGTGACTTGCCTAGTGTCAGTGATACTCCTGCCGCTCAGAGCTGCCGTGTCGCCCGTAACATTACTGTCATCCCATTGCTCCCCTTCCTTGGTGACATGGCTGGAGAGAGGCAGGAGGAAGCTGAGCCCCGAGTTCCTGATAGGCGGGGCTTTTCCGGGGTGTGTAGCGTGGCAGCAGGGGCTGGGGGCTCTGGAGCCTGGGGCAGAACTCAGACCCACTGCACGAGTGTCCCCGCCTCCCCCTTACCAGCCTGCTGGGCCACGGCCACACCCGTGACGACATCCACCGCTCCCAGTCCGGCCTCAGCCTCCCGGACCAAACTGTGAGGTGAGCACGGCCCTAGGCCTCCGTTTCCTCAGCTCTGCAGCCCTGGAAGGGTGCAGCTGTCACTGCTCCCCTCCATCTGACGGCTCGGCCGCCAACTCCCTTACAGGAGGACGATTTTCGGCCCCAACGTGATCAGCATTCCGGTCAAGTCCTACCCACAGCTCCTGGTGGACGAGGTAGGACTGCTCCCGCCTCTTGCTCGTCCTTGCTAGTGAGTAGTGGAAAGTTGCCTCACACTCAGCCCAGGGAGGTTGGCCGGTGAGGGACCAGGGCAGGGAGGTGGAGGGTCCACAGAAGCCTTGGGCCAGCGGCCGGCACGGCCTAGGAGGAGGCAAAACACGCAGCAAGGTGACGTGCTAGGGCCTGGGTCCTTCCCAGGCATTGCCCCCTCCCCTTCTCCAGTAGCCCTGGGAGTAGGGACCAGGCCCCTGCTCTTCACACATGAGGAGGAAGCCAAGCTTCTGGGCAGGGACAGGACAGAGGCAAGGTCACAGGGACAGAGGGAGGCCAGTGACCTGGACACATCTAGAGTAAAACATTAATGTCGCAGCAGACGCTGAAAGGCAGACGCTTGTGAGTCAGGCTGCCTCGGGAGCTGGGTGATTTTAGGCCTGCACCTCAGTTTGCTCGTCTGTAAAGTGGAGCTGAGGTGGCGCCCAGCTGGTGGAACCGACACCGGTGTTGGATGACACCTAGGTAAAGTACTGAGCGTGGGCTGGGCAGCAAATGCCCATTTCCTCCTGAGCTCAGAGAAGCAGACTCCTTGGGCATCTGCCTGGGTGCCGGTGGGCCAGAGCAGGAGAGAGCTGGCCGCCATCCTCCGACAGCCCCTGTGCCCTCCGCTCTGGTGGCCCATGGTGAGGCCGCGCAGGGATGTGGGTCCTCATGCTGCCTCCTGCCCCCGCAGGCACTGAACCCGTACTATGGGTTCCAGGCCTTCAGCATCGGGCTGTGGCTGGCCGACCACTACTACTGGTATGCCGTGTGCATCTTCCTGATCTCCGCCGTCTCCATCTGCTTGTCGATGTACAAGACC